ATATCCTTCTTTGCAATCACATCGATAACCTCCGACTTCATTCACACATATAGAACTTCTCCTTTCACACAAAGATGCATTTTGTGCACACTCATCAACATCTACAAATATACACATCATACATCTATTCATAGACACACCACACCTTCACTTCGCATCACTACATACCTTCACAAATTCCACTCGCTTCATTTCGCTCATATCCAGCTTTACAGCTACAAATCGCACTACCATTCTTTGGATCAACTATGCAGTTCTCAGTCATGTTGTTGCACGCATTGCCACTTTCTAAAGCACAGTTCCATCCATCTCACATTGCTGCAATCTCTCCACACACTTACCACATGCATCCACAAGTCGAACACAATCCGGTGACTGGTAGCCAACATCACAAATACAGCTTTCATTCACATGCGATGCATTTCGATTACAAGTGCCATGACTACATTCACATTTCTCCGCACATCCATATCCATATTCAAGATTGTCACACTCTACAAACAACAACAACAAGTCATCCAAGGTCAACACCACACATTCATCACTCACCGACGCATCGTTTCCCATCAGCAGAATGATGAAAACCTGCATATTTCATGCAGTTGCACTGATATGTACCATTGATAAGATCACAAAAACCAGCACATGTCGAAGCACACCATGCTACAATCATCATGATCAAAACAAACACTCAGCATTTCATCACTCTTACAAATAAATGACTACTCACGAACACAGGTGTTATTGACATTCACGGAGCCATGCAAGCACAGCACCCTTCCACTCTCGGCATCTGTGCAAGTGTCGTTGACACAAAGACTGTCATTATCTAACAATGCGAAACACACATGAGTTCATCTCGTGGCGACCGCTGACGTTGTCAAGATGCACTTACAAACACAAGTTCCAGATGCATTGAACATTGGACTGCATGCACAGGTGAAGCCACCATCAGTATTGGTACATTCTTCGACATCAGAGCAACGACGAGGAAAACTACCATCGATATTCGGCTCACTACACTCATCGATATCTTCAACAAAACAATTCATCATGAGTGAACATGCACTGAGCAGCAGTGAAGATGATCAACAAATATACCTATGCATGTTTGATTGTGAAAGCGGTATCCGCTGTTGCAGTTGCATGTGAAGGATCCCAACAGATTAATACAGACACCATGTCCACATCTGGACGGATCTGATTGGCACTCGTTCACATCTACATGTGATCGGACAAATGAGAATCTAGACATAGAAGATGAGTGTACCTTCGCAAGTGTATCCATCTGATGAATTGTATCCATGTAAGCAAGTGCCATTGCAATAGTGCGATCGATTCTGTTGTAGTTGTTCGTGAGAAGAGAGTGGAACACATGTTGTTTGATTGTTCCAATTAATGGTGCAAGCGCTGGGTGACAGGCACCCACTGTAGGTGAGTTCGCAGAGATCACCTAATGAAACGAAAGAGAAGGTATGAGAAACGAATGAACGAGTGAGTGAGTGAGTGATAGGTACCGTCGAATTGAGGAGGACAGTCGCATGATGCAATGCGGTAGTGGGGAGTGATGGATGTTGTTTGTTGAAAGTCACACGAACCATTATTGGTACATAGACAAACAATAATATCTAGGTACTTTTCCAATGTACTGTTTGTACCATACT